GAAACTTGATATAATGTGTGTCTTATTTCCAGATACATCCCTGCCGTGGTGGACCACAGAGGAGGAATGCCTTGTCATGGCACTTTTCTGCTGCATCAGGTTTGTCTTTGGGAGAAAATAAAATTGTTTGGATTTACTTCCTTACTTGTTAGTGTTGTTTCAACATTAGAACTCTTTACCTTCGTGTCGTGCAGGGCCTTCAGAGAAGAATCGCTGTGACCATCGTACACGAGTCAGGCGGCGACATAGAGTGGCGAGATATCCGCGAACTTGTCGTTGGTAAATTAAGATGCGTTTGTTTTGTTTTTTTACCTTACCATTGTCGGTGTATATGAAATATTTTTTAACTCAAAATTGTATGCCTTCCTAGGACGTCTTCGCAACACTCCGGAAGCCGACGAGACGATCATTGACCCCAACATTCTCTCCCTCAACATCCTATCTTCTGGGTATGTCAGACCCCTGCAGGACGACAGGTACGTAGCGGTGAGGAGGTGCTGAGAGTGCTTTGCGTCTGCTGCATCATCTCAAACGTCAGTACAACACCATTCTGCTGCATCTCTGCATCTTGCGTTTGTTGCATCAAACACTTTGTTGAACTGCAGTGTTATCTAAGGATTAAGCTGCATTAATGCTGCAGGAGAGACGTGACTGAATGCATGGCGTCTAACAAATCTGTCAGAGTAAATGTATATACGGTAGTAGATGAACAACTTGAAAGTCACAGCGGTATAAAATAGAATCAGTTAGATTTAACAGTGACCTTAATCCTACAAGATTACATATATTTACCCACTTGCCCATGCTGGCTGTGCAACGCTCCTAGCTGTTAATACGCGCTCTCGTGTCTGACTTCCATTATGGTTCCATCATGCTGCATCACGTCATTTACGTAACGTCATCTCTCCGCCATAATTCAATCTTGTGACCACGAAAGTTTGTGGAATGGAAACATTCAGGGTCAGAGGTTGACAGCTGGACTTGCTCGGGGGTTTCTCGTCTTCAACTCTTCAGCTGTGAGATGCTTCTTCAGTTTTGTCTTGAGTTTGCATGGGCTGATTACCCGACTCTCTAAAGCAAATCCAGCTGCCAACTTCTAAACCTGTTCATGTGAATGAATGGGAACGTTTAAAATTCTTCCAGACATGTTTACAGGACTAAAAAAGTGTCTCGTGTTTTTACCCTGTAATAGAAACATATGTTTTCCCAAAGCACTTTTCACTATATAGAATGTAGATTTAATATCATATTCATTTTTGAGCCAATATCATTTCACACTATGGTGCAAAGGTAAATATAACTTCACTTTTTTGCCTCTAAAAAAATAAAATAATTAGCAGTGAAGGTAAAAACGTCCCAACAGTAAATATTAATATATATTGATAAAGTAAACACACTCTACATCTACATGCCTTCAAAATGTCTATCTATGTCTTATATCTGTGCATAGAAACTATTGGAGATTTAACGTTGTCTTTCTGCAAACTTCCAGTGGAGGGCAGTGTGTGTCCATTTCTTTATTTTTGTGTCCACACGTGTTGCTTGACTTGAGTAAATTAGCAGAT